ATTTCTATGTCAGGAAGAGAAACCAGATTTTAAGTATATCTGGATACAAGGATGAAATTTAAGGCTGAGTATGGAAGCGTGGAGTTATTGTGACTAATGACACTGTGATTACTGTGTCAGCCTATCAGACGTACACACATCAGTGAAGATCAGTATCGGCCAACACCTGTACATAATCACAAACTACTGACACAGGTGAGAACTGGTTTGATGTAATACTATGAAGCAACTAATGACCTATTTAAACAATTTTTACCTGTAATTACCATTTTTAGGATTTGTAGGCTGTACCCCCCACAAATGATTGCCACAAATCTGCCAGGTGTGGGCTGATCATTGAACTGTTCAAGTTTGATTTGGAAAGGAGGTGTAGCAGCAGCCATTTCTGCACATAAGAAATGATTCAGTCAAAATTGTCTGAAATAGCTTAAGGAGGTATGCTTCCTTACTATGGCTTGTTGTGTGAGATAGCTTAAGGAGGTATACTTCCTTACTATGGCTTGTTGTGTGAGATAGCTTAAGGAGGTATGCTTCCTTACTATGGCTTGTTGTCTGAAATAGCTTAAGGAGGTATGCTTCCTTACTATGGCTTGTTGTGTGAGATAGCTTAAGGAGGTAGGCTTCCTTACTATGGCTTGTTGTCTGAAATAGCTTAAGGAGGTAGGCTTCCTTACTATGGCTTGTTGTGTGAGATAGCTTAAGGAGGTATACTTCCTTACTATGGCTTGTTGTGTGAGATAGCTTAAGGAGGTATGCTTCCTTACTATGGCTTGTTGTCTGAAATAGCTTAAGGAGGTATGCTTCCTTACTATGGCTTGTTGTGTGAGATAGCTTAAGGAAGTATGCTTCCTTACTATGACTTTGTTGTCTGAAATAGCTTAAGGAGGTATGCTTCCTTACGATGAATTTGTTGTCTGAAATAGCTTAAGGAAGTATGCTTCCTTACTATGACTTGTTGTCTGAAATAGCTACTGCCTTACAATCATGACATGCCTTTTGTTGATTTTGAATTCTTAGTTCTGTACACAAATCATGTAAAAATCTCTGTATGTGCTGTTCAGTTTGTATGAAATTGACGCAGCTTTTACATGTGGAAAGCAGGTATGATATTTCACTCTGCGTGTTCAAGTAAAAAATTGTCTATGATTGTCCGTAGGAGATAAACAAAATTTTTATTGAGATTGTTTTGCATTATTAAAAGAAAATAACTCAAAAGATAGGTTTGCATTAAAAGCACTTAACATTTCAAGGGGCACAAATGTTTCTTTAAAATTGCTGTTGTTACTAACTGATCAAAAGGTCAAACAGCGATTAACGTCATCTGTGATACCCTTGTCATAGTCAAGCTTTCCATTTTATCACATTTTTGTGAATGATGATGCTTGCTTTGGTCAACCATCTGCATAATTTCTGATAAATGTCAGATGGAACTGATAAAAAACATTTTAGGTTTTTATGTTAGTGAATAGTCCAATATAATAGGGCAATTAAGCATGATGGAGATACTGACTCCATCACACAGACACAGTGTTATAGGATATCTGGTGGGTACTGACTCCATCACACAGACACAGTGTTATAGGATATCTGGTGGGTACTGACTCCATCACACAGACACAGTGTTATAGGATATCTGATGGGTACTGACTCCATCACACAGACACAGTGTTATAGGATATCTTGTGGGTACTGACTCCATCACACAGACACAGTGTTATAGGATATCTGATGGGTACTGACACCATCACACACAGTGTTATATGATATCTGGTGGGTACTGAGTCCATCACACAGACACAGTGTTATAGGATATCTGGTGGGTACTGACTCCATCACACAGACACAGTGTTATAGGATATCTTGTGGGTACTGACTCCATCACACAGACACAGTGTTATAGGATATCTTGTGGGTACTGACACCATCACACACAGTGTTATAGGATATCTTGTGGGTACTGACTCCATCACACAGACACAGTGTTATAGGATATCTGATGGGTACTGACTCCATCACACAGACACAGTGTTATAGGATATCTGATGGGTACTGACACCATCACACACAGTGTTATAGGATATCTGATGGGTACTGACTCCATTACACAGACACAGTGTTATATGATATCTGGTGGGTACTGAGTCCATCACACAGACACAGTGTTATAGGATATCTGGTGGGTACTGACTCCATCACACAGACACAGTGTTATAGGATATCTTGTGGGTACTGACTCCATCACACAGACACAGTGTTATAGGATATCTTGTGGGTACTGACACCATCACACACAGTGTTATAGGATATCTTGTGGGTACTGACTCCACCACACAGACACAGTGTTATAGGATATCTGATGGGTACTGACTCCATCACACAGACACAGTGTTATAGGATATCTGATGGGTACTGACACCATCACACACAGTGTTATAGGATATCTGATGGGTACTGACTCCATTACACAGACACAGTGTTATAGGATATCTGGTGGGTACTGACTCCATCACACAGACACAGTGTTATAGGATATCTGATGGGTACTGACTCAATCACACAGACACAGTGTTATAGGATATCTGGTGGGTACTGACTACATCACACAGACACAGTGTTATAGGATATCTGATGGGTACTGACTCCATCACACAGACACAGTGTTATAGGATATCTGGTGGGTACTGACTACATTACAAAGACACAGTGTTATAGGATATCTGATGGGTACTGACTCCATCACACAGACACAGTGTTATAGGATATCTGGTGGGTACTGACACCATCAGACACAGTGTTATAGGATATCTGGTGGGTACTGACTCCATCACACAGACACAGTGTTATAGGATATCTGGTGGGTACTGACACCATCAGACACAGTGTTATAGGATATCTGGTGGGTACTGACTCCATCACACAGACACAGTGTTATAGGATATCTTGTGGGTACTGACACCATCACACACAGTGTTATAGGATATCTTGTGGGTACTGACTCCATCACACAGACACAGTGTTATAGGATATCTGATGGGTACTGACTCCATCACACAGACACAGTGTTATAGGATATCTTGTGGGTACTGACTCCATCACACACAGTGTTATAGGATATCTGGTGGGTACTGACTCCATCACACAGACACAGTGTTATAGGATATCTGGTGGGTACTGACTCCATCACACAGACACAGTGTTATAGGATATCTGGTGGGTACTGACTCCATCACACAGACACAGTGTTATAGGATATCTGATGGGTACTGACTCCATCACACAGACACAGTGTTATAGGATATCTTGTGGGTACTGACTCCATCACACACAGTGTTATAGGATATCTGGTGGGTACTGACTCCATCACACAGACACAGTGTTATAGGATATCTGGTGGGTACTGACTCCATCACACAGACACAGTGTTATAGGATATCTGGTGGGTACTGACTCCATCACACATTTAGTGGTGGCTCAGTAGTTCGACAACTAGATTAGGGTGAATGGATTAGTAGTTACTGAACAGTAGGATAACACAGCCAGAGTAGTTGGGGGCTGAATTGTGCATCTACCTAGACACTCTGTTGCCCCAGTAACCAACCTTAACAATCTGTTGCCCCTGTCACCTACCTTGACATTCTGTTGTCCCAATAATTCAACTTAACCCTGTTATCCCAGTAACCCCTATTGACATGTTATCCTGGTAACCCATCTTGACACCCACTTATCCCTATTACCCTCCCTGTAACCAGTGCCCCGAATAACATCATAACTGTGGATTTCCCTTTGTCATCCACATACATGTATCAGTTTATGTCTGATGAGTGGCTGATGTTGATGGCTATATGTAATGTGTAGTAAATCTAGTTATGTGATACAGGATGTAGTCTAATTAGACTGAGATTGATCTGAAAGATGACATGTGTTGTACAATATCATCTGTTGTCTCTACCCTGCTACCTGTATGAAAGCCATAGATATTGCAGCAGAAAGTAAAAGATAGAATTACAAGGAAAAAATCATGATATTTCATAGGTCAGAGGTCACAGAGTACATTAAGACGAGAGGTCACAAAAGCTAGGAGGGTCATGTAGGAAGTGCATAGTTGATTGTAAAAATGATTCTCCAGTTACCTCCTTGTAGGTGTAGTACAGTTGTTTATTCCTTTGATGTTCCACCTGTTGCGTGTACTCTATGAAGTGCTTAGAGGCCCTGCTATATATTTATGGAAAATAGTACAGCAGGAGGCCCCAGCTCTGTATGAAGTCATCAGAGGCAGGAGGCCCCAGCTCTGTATAAAGTCAATGCAGACTACATACAAATGTATGATAATTAGTGATAATTATACCTGCAACAGATGAGTCTGTCCCTACAGCCTACATAACTTTTACAACTGGTACAATTTGGTCAACAAGGGACCAGCTTAGCTCATCCTGACCTTCAAAGTTCCTCTTGTATCACACCACATGTACCCATATATACGACAAATTCCCACATGTACCCATTTATAAGACAGATATATTCCCACATGTACCCATATATATGACAGACATATTCCCACATGTACCCATATATAAGACAGACATATTCCCACATGTACCCATATATAAGATAGAAAAAATTCCCACATGTACCCATATATACGACAGACATATTCGCACATGTACCCATATATACGACAGACAAATTTCCACATGTACCCATATATACGACAGACGAATTCCCACATGTACCAATATATACGACAGACAAATTCCCACATGTACCCATATATACGACAGACATATTCACACATGTACCCATATATACGACAGACATATTCCCACATGTACCCATATATACGACAGACAGACATATACCTTTGGAAACAACAATTACCACACATAGATTTCCATCTTCATACATATCGCAGAAATATTCTCACAGGTGTAGTTCTGACAGCTGATAATATATTTGTTTGTAAAAATGAAATAAAGAAAAGCTAATTATGAATTCATTTTCAGTTCCAGTGAATTGTGAAGTAGGATTATGGGGAAAGTGGAGTGAATGTGAATCTCCTTGTGGGCTGGGACGTACAGAACGCAGCCGCCAAATCCTCGTCACTCCAAAAAATGGTGGTAAAATTTGTCCAAAACTCCGACAAAAACGGAGATGTATGGGAAAGCGGTGCTGGGAAGTTCAAGACGTGACATATCAAGGACAGGAATTACAAGGTTAGTGTGATTAACTTCAGTGATGTGTTACTTTAAGAGATTGTTACATGAGAATTATTTCCTCTTAGTGAAAATCCACCAATCCAACCCTGAGGGACTGCCCCTAAAAAGTAAAATCCACCAATCCAAACCTGAGGGACTGCCCCTAAAAAGTAAAATCCCATCCACCTTCCAACCCTAAGGGACTGTCCCTAAAAAGTAAAATCCCATCCACCTTCCAACCCTGAGGGACTGGCCCTAAAAAGTAAAATCCACCAATCCAACCCTGATGGACTGCCCCTAAAAAGTAAAATCCACCAATCCAACCTTGAGGGACTGTCCCTAAAAAGTAAAATCCCATCCACCTTCCAACCCTGAGGGACTGCCCCTAAAAAGTAAAATCCACCAATCCAACCCTGAGGGACTGCCCCTAAAAAGTAAAATCCACCAATCCAACCCTGAGGGACTGCCCCTAAAAAGTAAAATCCACCAATCCAAACCTGAGGGACTGCCCCTAAAAAGTAAAATCCACCAATCCAACCCTGAGGGACTGCCCCTAAAAAGTAAAATCCACCAATCCAACCCTGAGGGACTGTCCCTAAAAAGTAAAATCCACCAATCCAACCCTAAGGGACTGTCCCTAAAAAGTAAAATCCCATCCACCTTCCAACCCTGAGGGACTGCCCCTAAAAAGTAAAATCCACCAATCCAACCCTGAGGGACTGCCCCTAAAAAGTAAAATCCACCAATCCAACCCTGAGGGACTGCCCCTAAAAAGTAAAATCCACCAATCCAACCCTGAGGGACTGCCCCTAAAAAGTAAAATCCACCAATCCAAACCTGAGGGACTGCCCCTAAAAAGTAAAATCCACCAATCAAACCCTGAGGGACTGTCCCTAAAAAGTAAAATCCACCAATCCAAACCTGAGGGACTGCCCCTAAAAAGTAAAATCCACCAATCCAAACCTGAGGGACTGCCCCTAAAAAGTAAAATCCACCAATCCAACCCTGAGGGACTGCCCCTAAAAAGTAAAATCCACCAATCCAACCCTGAGGGACTGTCCCTAAAAAGTAAAATCCACCAATCCAACCCTGAGGGACTGCCCCTAAAAAGTAAAATCCACCAATCCAAACCTGAGGGACTGCCCCTAAAAAGTAAAATCCACCAATCCAACCCTGAGGGACTGCCCCATAAAAAGTAAAATCCACCAATCCAACCCTGAGGGACTGCCCGTAAAAAGTAAAATCCACCAATCCAACCCTGAGGGACTGTCCCTAAAAAGTAAAATCCACCAATCCAACCCTAAGGGACTGTCCCTAAAAAGTAAAATCCCATCCACCTTCCAACCCTGAGGGACTGCCCCTAAAAAGTAAAATCCACCAATCCAACCCTGAGGGACTGCCCCTAAAAAGTAAAATCCACCAATCCAACCCTGAGGGACTGCCCCTAAAAAGTAAAATCCACCAATCCAACCCTGAGGGACTGCCCCTAAAAAGTAAAATCCACCAATCCAAACCTGAGGGACTGCCCCTAAAAAGTAAAATCCACCAATCAAACCCTGAGGGACTGTCCCTAAAAAGTAAAATCCACCAATCCAAACCTGAGGGACTGCCCCTAAAAAGTAAAATCCACCAATCCAAACCTGAGGGACTGCCCCTAAAAAGTAAAATCCACCAATCCAACCCTGAGGGACTGCCCCAAAAAAATAAAAATCCACCAATCCAACCCTGAGGGACTGTCCCTAAAAAGTAAAATCCACCAATCCAACCCTGAGGGACTGCCCCTAAAAAGTAAAATCCACCAATCCAAACCTGAGGGACTGCCCCTAAAAAGTAAAATCCACCAATCCAACCCTGAGGGACTGCCCCATAAAAAGTAAAATCCACCAATCCAACCCTGAGGGACTGCCCGTAAAAAGTAAAATCCACCAATCCAACCCTGAGGGACTGCCCCTAAAAAGTAAAATCCACCAATCCAAACCTGAGGGACTGCCCCTAAAAAGTAAAATCCACCAATCCAACCCTGAGGGACTGTCCCTAAAAAGTAAAATCCACCAATCCAACCCTGAGGGACTGCCCCTAAAAAGTAAAATCCACCAATCCAAACCTGAGGGACTGCCCCTAAAAAGTAAAATCCACCAATCCAACCCTGAGGGACTGTCCCTAAAAAGTAAAATCCACCAATCCAACCCTGAGGGACTGTCCCTAAAAAGTAAAATCCACCAATCCAACCCTGAGGGACTGCCCCTAAAAAGTAAAATCCACCAATCCAAACCTGAGGGACTGCCCCTAAAAAGTAAAATCCACCAATCCAAACCTGAGGGACTGCCCCTAAAAAGTAAAATCCACCAATCCAACCCTGAGGGACTGCCCCTAAAAAGTAAAATCCACCAATCCAAACCTGAGGGACTGTCCCTAAAAAGTAAAATCCACCAATCCAAACCTGAGGGACTGCCCCTAAAAAGTAAAATCCACCAATCCAACCCTGAGGGACTGCCCCTAAAAAGTAAAATCCACCAATCGAACCCTGAGGGACTGTCCCTAAAAAGTAAAATCCATCAATCCAAACCTGAGGGACTGCCCCTAAAAAGTAAAATTCACCAATCCAAACCTGAGGGACTGTCCCTAAAAAGTAAAATCCATCAATCCAAACCTGAGGGACTGCCCCTAAAAAGTAAAATCCACCAATCCAACCCTGAGGGACTGCCCCTAAAAAGTAAAATCCACCAATCCAACCCTGAGGGACTGCCCCTAAAAAGTAAAATCCCATCCACCTTCCAACCCTGAGGGACTGGCCCTAAAAAGTAAAATCCACCAATCCAAACCTGAGGGACTGCCCCTAAAAAGTAAAATCCACCAATCCAACCCTGAGGGACTGCCCCTAAAAAGTAAAATCCACCAATCCAACCCTAAGGGACTGTCCCTAAAAAGTAAAATCCCATCCACCTTCCAACCCTGAGGGACTGTCCCTAAAAAGTAAAATCCACCAATCCAACCCTGAGGGACTGCCCCTAAAAAGTAAAATCCACCAATCCAACCCTGAGGGACTGTCCCTAAAAAGTAAAATCCACCAATCCAACCCTAAGGGACTGTCCCTAAAAAGTAAAATCCCATCCACCTTCCAACCCTGAGGGACTGGCCCTAAAAAGTAAAATCCACCAATCCAACCCTAAGGGACTGTCCCTAAAAAGTAAAATCCCATCCACCTTCCAACCCTGAGGGACTGGCCCTAAAAAGTAAAATCCACCAATCCAAACCTGAGGGACTGCCCCTAAAAAGTAAAATCCACCAATCCAACCCTGAGGGACTGCCCCTAAAAAGTAAAATCCACCAATCCAACCCTAAGGGACTATCCCTAAAAAGTAAAATCCCATCCACCTTCCAACCCTGAGGGACTGCCCCTAAAAAGTAAAATCCACCAATCCAACCCTAAGGGACTGTCCCTAAAAAGTAAAATCCACCAATCCAAACCTGAGGGACTGCCCCTAAAAAGTAAAATCCACCAATCCAAACCTGAGGGACTGCCCCTAAAAAGTAAAATCCACCAATCCAAACCTGAGGGACTGCCCCTAAAAAGTAAAATCCCATCCACCTTCCAACCCTGAGGGACTGCCCCTAAAAAGTAAAATCCACCAATCCAACCCTGAGGGACTGGCCCTAAAAAGTAAAATCCACCAATCCAAACCTGAGGGACTGCCCCTAAAAAGTAAAATCCACCAATCCAACCCTGAGGGACTGTCCCTAAAAAGTAAAATCCACCAATCCAACCCTGAGGGACTGCCCCTAAAAAGTAAAATCCACCAATCCAAACCTGAGGGACTGCCCCTAAAAAGTAAAATCCACCAATCCAAACCTGAGGGACTGCCCCTAAAAAGTAAAATCCACCAATCCAACCCTGAGGGACTGCCCCTAAAAAGTAAAATCCACCAATCCAAACCTGAGGGACTGTCCCTAAAAAGTAAAATCCACCAATCCAAACCTGAGGGACTGCCCCTAAAAAGTAAAATCCACCAATCCAACCCTGAGGGACTGCCCCTAAAAAGTAAAATCCACCAATCGAACCCTGAGGGACTGTCCCTAAAAAGTAAAATCCATCAATCCAAACCTGAGGGACTGCCCCTAAAAAGTAAAATTCACCAATCCAAACCTGAGGGACTGTCCCTAAAAAGTAAAATCCATCAATCCAAACCTGAGGGACTGCCCCTAAAAAGTAAAATCCACCAATCCAACCCTGAGGGACTGCCCCTAAAAAGTAAAATCCACCAATCCAACCCTGAGGGACTGCCCCTAAAAAGTAAAATCCCATCCACCTTCCAACCCTGAGGGACTGGCCCTAAAAAGTAAAATCCACCAATCCAAACCTGAGGGACTGCCCCTAAAAAGTAAAATCCACCAATCCAACCCTGAGGGACTGCCCCTAAAAAGTAAAATCCACCAATCCAACCCTAAGGGACTGTCCCTAAAAAGTAAAATCCCATCCACCTTCCAACCCTGAGGGACTGTCCCTAAAAAGTAAAATCCACCAATCCAACCCTGAGGGACTGCCCCTAAAAAGTAAAATCCACCAATCCAACCCTGAGGGACTGTCCCTAAAAAGTAAAATCCACCAATCCAACCCTAAGGGACTGTCCCTAAAAAGTAAAATCCCATCCACCTTCCAACCCTGAGGGACTGGCCCTAAAAAGTAAAATCCACCAATCCAACCCTAAGGGACTGTCCCTAAAAAGTAAAATCCCATCCACCTTCCAACCCTGAGGGACTGGCCCTAAAAAGTAAAATCCACCAATCCAAACCTGAGGGACTGCCCCTAAAAAGTAAAATCCACCAATCCAACCCTGAGGGACTGCCCCTAAAAAGTAAAATCCACCAATCCAACCCTAAGGGACTATCCCTAAAAAGTAAAATCCCATCCACCTTCCAACCCTGAGGGACTGCCCCTAAAAAGTAAAATCCACCAATCCAACCCTAAGGGACTGTCCCTAAAAAGTAAAATCCACCAATCCAAACCTGAGGGACTGCCC